CCCCAAAACCCCAAAACCCCAAAACCCCAAAACCCCATACTGCTGAATTTAGGATATGAAGGAGTGAGTTAAAATAGTAATAGATTGATAATAAAAGTGGGTGGGGGTTTGATTGCTGCAGTATATTTATTTAGTGAGTTGAATAGGTTTATTTAATTAGTTTGCTAAAATGAATATTGAAAACTCCAATAAACTAAAAATGCACTCGCTACAGTAGAAGTGTTTAAGCTTTAGCGATTGCCTCAACTTTTCAAGCCATTCTTCATCTTTTGATGACCTCTCTAACGACGATATTTACAACAATAATCACTCGGATAACCTAAATTAGCAGTTTAATGCGATGCGTATTGCAGAATAAAGAGATAATATGGGTTTGCTAAATGCAGAAAATGGGATGATGCAACACTCGAAATTTAAAAATCAAAAGAACATTGGAAATATTCAATTCCAAGAGATACCTACATAGTCACGCCAAGATTCCTATTTGTAAAAGCTAAAAGAAGAATTAGAGGTAGAAGAAGAGTTGAGAAGTATATTTGGCTTCAAAAGATAGGCTACTCTCAACACTGATGTTCAATTAGATTCTTCAAATTAAGATGAATTTCAAAAATATGAGAATTTAGATGGCTGCATCTCGTCCGATGAAAAGACACATTTGGGACCTTTGAGAAATTAATCCTACAATGAGTTTTTGAATCATCAATTTTCAAACGGGTTTTTCCAAGAACTGTTTTATAATCACCCCAACTACTATCATAATACGAATACCAATCTTAATAGATTCAACTCAGGTGAGTAGTAAACTTAAAAAAATGTTCAGTAAAATGGCCATAATTTGCAAACTTTGAAGTAGCCAAAGCCTCTAAGGACTTCACTTGGAATCTCTTAAAGTCATAGATACTAGTCTCTAAAGGACAGTTTGATTCGCCCAAGCAATCCAATTATTAAGGATTTAGCTTTCAAGAGAGCAAATTCTGATACTTTTAGTGCTAACGATAATTATTCCTACAATGCTGATTTTAACGACCAAGGATGGAACAACATTTATGAAGCTAACAGCTAATTTATGAACAACTGGGGGATGGATAGCATCTCATAATCAGACATTTCTAATGTAAGATAACCACAGTAAAATTAATAATCTAATCAACAAACATCTCTATACATAGTATCATCTCAAAATGATGTAAATTAATGAAGTAAAATTAGTAGTAAACATGAACATACCTAATGAGGATCAACTAACTTGTGCTTTGAGAAAAAGGTCTATAAAGAATAAGTAGATTATTCTGCTTATTCTTCTGGTTTTTGAGATCTTTTAATTAAAATCTCACAAAACATAAAAACTGCAGCTTTCTGTACCGATTTATGCAAGCTTATCTAATGACTATTAGCCTGGGGATGACATAGATATATTCTATTGATATCCTTTTTAAGGTGATAGTATTAGACTAATGATATCAATTTTAGACCAACCTTCGCAAAGCTTAAAGTTATTGAGTTACCCTATAAATAGTTCATATCATATATAAATAGATATATTGATAAATTTGCTAAACTTTCAATCAATTTTCTTTTCTCTTTATTCGGGGTTTTGGGGTTTTGGGGTTTTGGGG